ATTATTTAAAGGTAGAGCTAATTAGTAATTTTACATTGCACAGAAAGTGGTAATATGGTGAAAAGATACTAGCTCACACTATATTTTTCTGGAAATTATCATTCATAATTCTGGGTGAGTATGAAAAATAACTTAGGTTTGGCAGCATGATACAAGTGTTTTTTTTTTTTTTTTTTGGTTGCTTTTTATTAGATCACCGAGTGTTGATGATTAGAATTTATGGCAGTTTGCAGAAAGACATTAAGGACTTCCAACTTTTTGTAGCATGATGATCGTGCTAGGCTGTCTTTGAGTAGAATGAGTTTTGTTAAGATTCAGAGAATGAGTGTTAATATAATTAGAAATTGGGGAAAATTCGTACTTCTCGTATGAAACTTTTTTTTTTGTTTTCATATTTTATATTTAAATGCACAATGTAAAAGCAGTGCTGTGTATTTGAAGTAATTGAAATGGTTAAGTGAAATGCCTAGCACTACTCGTGTATGAGTTCTGAATGAATATGATGGCGTGCGGGGAAGCTCAGTGACTGTGAGGTTAACACTTAGAGGATAAAGCCTATTTAACAACTCGTGATACCCACCAAACACATTTAGTACAAAAGACACATTGAACCGATCGACTTATCTAGTAAGACACATCAGATTTAACGACGCTTTCAAAACTTGGGTATCGGGAACAAGTATTAAAACTCAACAGGGTGAGGGCACCTGTACTCAAGTGTCTTTAAACAAATGAAGAATTCACACACAGAGAACCTTAACACATACACATTGGTTTCTGATATGGGATTCTAAAAGATGGCAGATCCGTTCCCCCAATACCCTTCTCTTTACGATGCATATTGCTATCTGCACCCCCCTTCTTTATAATACATAGTGCTATATACGCCCACCGTTTTCTTACACATATGGTGACGTCCTAATTTCATTTTTGCGTAGTTTAATGAAGTTTGAAAAGTTTACCACCCAAGTACACACGTTAATCTTTTAATTAAATAGATACACCAGTGTACAACGTGAAAAGAAATAGAGTAAATACTTTATCAAATTTTGTATTAGGTATATAATTGATAATCTTTAACTTTGTAGTGTATTGTAATTTTTAAGTATATTAGAAAGTTACACTGGAATTACAAAGGGTATATATTTTATTATGAAGTAATCTATATTTTACGATTTTAATCGGGGGATGCGGTGATTTAAAATTGATTTTGATTATTGTGAAGCAAAAAAGAAAATTCAAGACAAAGTTTCATATTTAAATTGTATTGTTTTTAAAGGGAAAATAAAAATAAATGAAAAATAGTGAAAACTACGAAACCGATTCTGTAAAGAGTTAGCAATTTTAAATAACTGTAACAGTTGAAAGAAAGAATAAAACAAGTTGTTGTATGAAGTGTAAAACTTTTATGAAACAAAATATCAACAGAAAGTAAAACTTGTATGAAATATAGTATCAACAGAAAGTGAAACTTGTATGAATTATAGTATCAACAGAGAGTGAAACTTGTATGAAACAAAATATCAACAGAAAGTAAAACTTGTATGAAATAAATTTGTCAAATAAAAACGATTTCATTTATGTTTTGTTAGCAAGTGATAACTTACGAGTGTGATATTTAGTTATCTTAGCATCAACATATCAAATTTTAAAAATAAGTTAACTCTTTCCATACACAGAATTACATTTAAATAAACAAATAATAATAATAATAAAACCTAGTTAATTAGAAAAGATTTAATTTGAAGAGGTCTCAAGTACTAACTACTCTAAGTTAACAATAATGAATGATCATCGCTAATTTGAACAGGTTTCAAATAATAACTATTCTAAGCTAACAATATGATATAGCTTCTAGGTCCCTACTCAACAGGGTGACTGTACCGGTACTCTAAGTGTCTATGAACAAATGAAGATCTTCTTACACATAAACATTGCTGTCTAAGATTGGTCTCTGAGGGATCCATTCCTCAAACACCTTTCTTTTTACAGTGCATAGTACTATCTTCAACCCACCCATACCTTACACATATGGTGACGTTGTTCGTACTCTCCTTTTCCACAGTTTAATGAAGTTTAAAAAGCTTCCCACGCTCGTTTACTGTGAACAGGATGTGAAGTATGCTCAAAATAAACATCCCCATAGTGACACGAGATGTAAGCTAAATGAAAATCTTTAAAATGCTAGAGATAGCGTTTTGAAAATTTCAAACTTATGTAAACAATCAATATCAGAGGTAATGTCCTACAATATGCAACTAGAACGTATCAGAAACAATGCTCTAAAAGATACATCTAGACAACGGAATATACATTGTCCTAATAAGCTATCTAGACAGTGGCAAAGACATTGTTCTAATGTATTCATCTAGACAGTGACAAAATCAATGTTCTAATAAATCCATCTAAGACAGTACAAGAAGCAATGTTTTAATATATTAATTTAGACAGTGCCACAAGCAATGTTCTCATATATCCTTCTAGACAGTGCCACAAGCAATGTTCTCGTATATTTTTCTAGACAGTGCCACAAACAATGTTCTAATATATTCTTCTAGACAGTGCCACAAACAATGTTCTCATATATTCTTCTAGACAGTGCCCCAAACAATGTTCTCATATATTTTTCTAGACAGTGCCACAAACAATGTTTTCATATATTCTTCTAGACAGTGCCACAAACAATGTTCTAATATATTATTCTAGACAGTTCCACAATGTTTTCATATATTCTTCTAGACAGTGCCACAAACAATGTTTTCATATATTCTTCTAGACAGTGCCACAAACAATGTTCTAATATATTCTTCTAGACAGTGCCACAAGCAGTGTTCTAATATATTATTCTAGACAGTTCCACAATGTTTTCATATATTCTTCTAGACAGTGCCCCAAACAATGTTCTCATGTATTCTTCTAGACAGTGCCAGATGTAATTTTCTAATAAACTCACCCAGACAGCGCCAGAGGCAATGCTCTAATATATTCATCTAGAGGGTGTAAGAGGCATTGTTCTAATAAATTCATGATCAGAATGTCAGAATGCACGAGAGCAGGAGACAATGTTTTAACGAATTCATCTAAAAAGTGAGTGAGGCAATGCTCTAATAAATTAATTTAGAAGTTACTGGAAGCAATATTTTGAAATATGCAGCTCAAAACTTATTTTCTAATAAATGTATATTGGAAATTGACAGATACAATGTTATGAAAAATATCCACTTAGAAACTATCAGAGGCAATGTTCTAAAAGACGTAGATATTAAGACTATGTTCAACACAGTTTTCTAAAAGATACATCTCGAATGTACCAAACCATGTTCTAAAATGTATATTTCATGTTCTAAAATATTTATTTCACCCGTATTATTAATAATTTCTGACAAAATTTAACCTAACCATACAGAGAGAATTAAATGAGTAATTTATAAATTAACGACGCCGACTTCCCATAACAAACTGACAGGAAGTACAATGTCATAAATTAACGACGCCAACTTCCGATAACAAACTGACAGGAAGTACAATGTCATAAATTAACACATGACAAAAAAAAACAAAAACGAAAATGATTCTAATTCATTGACATAACAGTTGAATATCCTTGTTTCCAGCAATATTTTCTGCTGTTATCCCAATAATATCTAACGAACCTAATTTAGGCGATCTTTGGAGCTTTAAGTTAATCCTAAAGTTTTGTATCTCGTCTAGATTCCCAGAGACCAAGCATTTAGTTTTGTCTACGTAAAGAGTCATTTGATTAAGCTATCCTGATTATATTGAAAGAAAATTACAAACAAAGCAGTCTTTCGACAGACAGTTTATTGATAATATTAAAAACAAAGCAAATAGATGACTGCATTTACTTTCACGATGTCGTCACGTGCGTTTGGTAGGAGCGAGTTTAGTAAATAAAACGAATTAAAACATTAAAACTAGACCGTCTGAACACCCTTTATATTCGTACAAGACGTTTCGCTGTTTGACAAATGCTCATAATATTTTGTTATCAATTTTTATTTGGCTATATTATACATGAATTAAGTATACTAAGTAAATAATTTATGTTATAAACCCCTGCAACTATGTATGTACATATCTTGAAAACTGTATGTGATTCAAAAGACATAAATCTCCCTATACCTGAAAAAGTTTAACAATTTTTCTTGTTTTAACCAGTATAATAGTAGAGCTAAAAAGCTCTATCTGAATGTCATATTGTATAGATTGATAATTGGAAGTGCCTTAAACAGCTATATTAGGGCTAGAAACACGAATCAAAATACTTCAGTGAAAATTATTCAATAAATGTAATCCTGTTATTGTCATTTAATTATTATTATTTTTATTCAGGTAAAAAAGTTGCTTTTTTGTCTGCAATTAATATTAAGAAAAACAACATTTAGAAAAAAAAACTCTTTCGAAAAAGGTCACAATGGAAACAAAAAAAAAGGGAGAATGAAGAGATAACTTCACTCTCTTTGTTGAATTTGTCCCCCGATGGGACAACGGTAAGTTGTGGACTTACAACGCCACAATCCGAGGTTCGATTCTCTGCAGTGGACACTGTAAATAGCCCAATGTGGATTTGTTCTAAAAAACAAACAATCTCTACCTCAATACGTTTTCATTAGCTTTATTTTCAATAGGTTACTCACATTTAATTTATTTTAAAGATGTAACTAGCAATGACTATTGTAGCGGAAGACATTTGTCACTTCTTGAATTTAAGGCCTAAATATTTAACCTTTAAGTAGTAGTTTCTCTAGCTATCTACTTTGTTCCAGTTTCATTTTTCACATTAATATTGTATTTTGTTATTCGTTAATCTGCTTGGAAGAAAAAAAAGATCATAAAAATCTAGAAAGAACTGCAGCGTTAACTAAGCTGCTGCGGAGATGTGCATTGACAGTTACAATATATTCCGCAAGGAGGCTATGTATAGTATAAATACAAGTGGCTAAGGGACGTCAAGACAGTAATGAGAAACGTGTCTTGCATGGCGTAAGCGTTCAGTAGACGCAGTGCAACAAAACCGTATGCTTGATAGTATTTTGAGTTTCCATACGGTTCTGATCTGGCATATTGAGCTACATAGTTCAGAATTTAAAGTAGGCTGATATAAAGGCTACTTGAACAATAACTTCATGGCTCTTCTATTTAAGTAATTAATTCTAACAGAGCTATATTAGTGCTATTCACACTCTGATGATGACCACTCATATTGGAACACACAGGGTGTCTTCCATACTAATTACCTTTGTGTGAAATAGCAGGTATTGTCAGTTTCATCTTGAATAATTGAACGACACAGGTTCCAGGAATAAGGAAGGCAGAACAGCACCTGACTCCGTTCCCGACTGACTCATCATGACCTCTGACTGCTGGTTTGAGAACGTATAGTTTAACAACTGGCCAGGCTGCAGAACGAGATTGCTCCAGATCAAGACTGTCCGTGTTTCTTCACTGATAAAAGACTAAACGAACAGGTCTGTGGTGTTTTTTAACGAACTAGGCTTTCCTGATAATTTACCATTTTGACTCTTATCAACAGATGCTACATCCAAATGTGTACCACACGTTCAAAATAGTTGACATAAAAACTACCTCTAAAACAAAGTGCGAAGATAAGCTTTTGTAATTGTTTCTCAAAATCACATTCAGTTAAAAATGTTTTAAGAAGCCAATCATTTTTTCGTGTATTTATATTAACTGGACATTAGAGCACGTTCCATCTATCAGCTTAAGTTAATATATAAATATAAGTATATCAGCCCGTTTATTTACTGTTTAGAATAACACATGCTTTGGTGAACATAATAGCCTAATTTTAATCTGTTCACAGGCGCGAAATGATTTGAAAACAAACTGGCAACTGTCTTACCTTCGACGTCTGCTCGAGATTAGAGAATCCCGACGAATACTTCATCCTATTAAAGAGCAAGACTTCCTCACAGATATGAATATTTTTATGGTATCAGTAAAGTGGTAAGTTATGGTATATCATTAATACTGGTGAACACGAAAATACAAAATAATAAAATTCTACATAATATTTTGTTGTGTGGTAAAACCGAAGCAAGGAAGGTTAATTACTGTCTACTTTCTCTCCTTGATAAATCCTTGCCATATTTCCCGAAATGTAATACACATATTCACTCATTGTGTGAATATTTACTAATAACTAACTTTTATTTATTTTTACATTAAATGCACTCTTGTTAGTTCAGTTTAATTATAAGTTATTTTGTTCTAAGTATAAAAAATTTTCTAAGCGTCAATTAAATATCTTTTGTAATAGTGTGATATTTATTCTTGGATAGAGAAGCTCCGCAATAACAGGAGGAATGTGGATTTATTTGGCAGGTTAAGTACTGGCTGAAAAACAAGGAAAGTGATGTCAGTATGGTCGAGAAGATTAGAACTAAGGACTCGTTGATAAATACGATACAAACGCCAAAAATTACATTTGAATAATCTATATATAATCATTATCTGTCTGAGTTCTCCACTTGCGAGCAGACGAAATATAGTATAAACTAAAGCATTGGCTAAGAACCAAATTAATAAAATTACAAGAAGATGATAAGCTAATGGTTAATAACATGCTTCAGATTGGCAGTAATGAGATTTATAGGTTGTTTTTTTTTTACTGTGATACATTTGTGAATTCCATGTGCAACATCACATTCTCTGCATGCACGAGTAGTACATGATGTATTTCCGAGTATTTTGGGGGTGTGTCATTTTAGCCACCTAGTGGTGAAAAATAGTACTTCTTTGCAGAACAAGTATGTAGAAACTTCTGCACAACAAATGACTACTTACCATGAAAACTTACACTCTTACGTTCAAGATGTATATATAAATATATATAATTTTAAAAGTAGGTTTTAATATACATGAAACTTGATCTTGTGACTATACCGCACCCCAGTAGCTCAGCGGTAATTTGTCAGGCTTACAGTTCTAAAAATGAGATTTAGATACCTATGATGAGCAGAGCACAGATTGTTTATTTTTGTAGCTTTGTGCTTGACAAGAATCAAAGCAAACCTAGTTGTGATTACATCCTAATCAAATTTTTTAAAGTTTTTGATGACCAAAAAATAAAATTTGTTGTCTCATGTAAGGTAAAATTATTACTGTTTCTTTTCTTCTTTTTTTTTGAAACAGAAAATTCAAAAGGAAGGTTAAGTACCATAATTCTTAGAATATGCCACCAACAAGGTTAACACAAAATTCATTTAGATTCACACCCTTAATCCTTATTGTTTCATCATGTAATAAAATATAAATACTTATAGGCTCAAGGTTATCACCAAATTAATCTGAAAAACAAATGGAAAAAACTATTAAAATCCTTATGCAGTCCAGTAGGTCTTAGTTTATGATAAACACCCACCTCTAGTAACGCCAGCTACTCAGTAAGTGAGCTTTCAGGGTTGAATGTCCAGACATGCCAATAGGAATATAAAGATCTTCGTCAATTGGCGGTAACTACGAGACATCCACATTCCCAGAGTACTGGTTTACAGTAACCAGTAGTGAATTCTATTGTTAGGTTAATAGCCTATATATGATCACTAAGACTAAATATTAATTAGTTAAAAATACATACTTTTTAGTACTATATATATCAAATATTTTTAATCCCACGTTTCGCCCCAACCACTAGAAACCGGGTTTCGATACCAGTGGTGGGCAGAGCACAGATAGCAAACAAACAATCCCACGTTTCAGCAAGTGATCTCTTGCCATCTTTAGAAAAGTCCTGAAAAGGACATATTGTGTAAGTAATTATTAATTAGAGCTTACGTGATCAAATAGGTTAGTAACCATAACAACTTGATCGCCACAAGTATTTATATTGTGAACTTCTACGGACAACCAAAGCTGAGAAATATAATTGAGTTTTGGAATCTTATAGACAAAATTAAAAATGATTAGGCTTTGTGTTTAGGATTATAAATTTCTAAAGTTTGATATTCATAGCACCTAAATGATAATAACTTATGATAAGAGTAAGCTAAATATTTAGATTGAAAATAAGGCCAATTTGGCTAATTACGTATACTTTTCTTGCATTTCTATTTATAAAATTAGGATGGATTGTTTCATCACTTAGGTACCTTCGCTGTTAACGATATTTTAGGCCGTAATCCCAATAATAACAAGCTTATAACATTTAGATTAAGCTAACAAAACAAAACAATCTTCACAATAAAAAGTATAATACTCGGTGACAAATGAAAATAAAAAAAATAATTACATTCGACATATTAACTAGCACAACCAATATTTTAAATGAAAGCAGCTATGCCTAAACAAAATAGCATATTTTACTTACCATAAACATTAGTTCCTGTCTCAAACCATAGTCATTGATGTATATTTCTTTAGAAACTAGCTTTCTCTAACGCTGCACATTACTGTAATGTGTCTATTTATGATATTTTCCATATCGGTTTTAATGTCTTTTTAGACTTCGTTACTCGAAGGTTTTAATGCATTCAAAGTAAACCTTAGTTCTTTGTGAAAAGCTGTAACATAAAACTTTTAAGGTGATTTACCTGCGGGAGTGTTAATCTATCTGTTATGTAAATAAAATAAATGATCAATAACATTTTTCTTACCCATGACACTTTCATTGGTGCTAATAACAATAATAAATAGTGCATTTTTTAAAGTGTGTTTATTGATCATGTCTTTAACTAAATTTACCCATTTTCTAAATTCGCTTTGTGATACTTACTTTTCTGGGCGTTTCCAATTAATGTTTGGACACTGCCGAAATTTTGGACCTTTTCGTATTAGTAGTCGTAAACCTTCTTTAGTCACAATATCAGGGTTACCAGTGAGCACATGATCGATGACAGAATAATGGTAAGGAAATTAATTTAGTCCCATTTATATGATAAAATGTGTTGTCTAACTCTTCAGTTATGTTATCTAACGCTTTATTATAATTAAAGATGTTACTGATAATTCTATTTGGAAGAATAGCTGGATATTTGATTCTGTAAATGTTAGGTAGTAAATGTTGTTTAGAAGTACCTATTATAATTTAATAAGTGGAACTAGACGTTAAGCCTTATTTATCTTTACATTTATTAACTGTTGTTATTTTAGGTTTAAGTGATTACAAGTAGCAACTAATAGCTTGCAATATTGCTTGTTCTGTATTAACGCTAATGTCTACGTGTAAAAACTGGCAATCCTGAGAAACATTACTTTCATTCTTAACTCGGTTGTTAAGCCTATAAGGGTAAACCGTAACTAGCGTTTTTATCCAATAGTCACTCCTCTCTTTTCTCACGTTTAGCGCGTAAACCATTTAACTTTTCACATTGTAGAATTCTATGGGCTGTATACGAAAATCTTGAAAAGTATGCCATGTTGAAATAAAGTGTTTAGCGATGAAACTTAATTCCTTCTTTTTTTTCGTTTTTTTTTTTGCAAGCGGGTATCTATTTCAGCTTACTTTACTTTGAAGTATTTTCTGAAAGGATACCAAAACCACGCTTGACTCTCTGATTTCTACTTGCTTGTTGTTGTTGTTGTTTAATTTCCCGCAAAGCTACACGAGGGCTATCTGTGCTAGCCGTCTCTAATTTAGAAGTGATAGACCCCCACACACACATACACACACACCAACCTCTCTGGCTACCCTTTGCCAACAAAGTGTAGGATTGACCGTCACATTGTAAGCCCCTATGGCTGAAAGGGCGAGCATGTTCGGTGACGAGATTCGAATTAGCAACCCACATAATGTTTTCTACAAGCTGGACAGTAAACTTTAAAACCAAATTACATGTCTATGTCTCTCTATATATCTTAACACACCTCTGTAACAGGAATTAATGTCTTAATGTTTCCTACTCAAACAGTTTTGGGAAGATACTGAATGTCCATAGAATGGAGTATTTGGTTATTGTATATTTGTAATTCATGCTCATGAAAGGGTATTTTCTGAGACGATGATAAACTTACAGATAGGTGGAGGAAGCAAAGGTTGAGGTGGGAACATAATAAAGAAGTGTAACAAAGACTAAGAGAAATTCTATTTAAAACCAAGAGCTTTTATTAATGTGTGCTCTTTTTCCATTCTTGGGAACAAGAGATTGAAATACACCTATTGGAGACACCAGCAACTCCACACACTCAATTTCTGCTAGGTATCTTATAGGGCAACAAAGATGAGTAATAGTGGATTCCAATTCTAAATGAGGTGGTCACTGTGGAACATGTAGACATTCACTGACTAGCTTGGACATTGTCAAGCAATGATCAGAATAGTATGATCAAGGAAAGCGAGAGAGAGATGCGGTGTATGGAGTGAATGAAGTCCACCAGGAAGAGCTCTGACTACATCATGCAGGTTAACTAGTACATCGTTATATTTCTGTGGATCCTTGTGGAAGTCAAAAGCTTTTCATGAGGCTGTCAAGCCACACTGACAACACTTTGAAACCCAATTTGGTGGTGAGATGATGCAATGTCTAATGATAAAGTGTGTTTTATATAGCATGAATTATTCTGCTGAACACACCACACAACGTCACATTTGTCAGGATTCACATAACTTTGGATAGAGAAAAGTAAGGTTTACCTCCCTCAAGCACTGACAGTGTCTCAGCTGCACAAAAATGAGGATGCTGACAATGGTTGTGAAGTGAAGCAGATTAAATGAGCAGTGTTTAACCCTATTTAATTCTGACCATGGTTGTGAAGTGAAGCAGATTAAATGAGCAGTGTTTAACCCTATTTAATTCTGACCATGGTTGTGAAGTGAAGCAGGTTAAATGAACAGTGTTTAACCCTATTTGATGCTGACAATGGTTGTGAAGTGAAGCAGATTAAATGAGCAGTGTTTAACCCTATTTAATTCTGACCATGGTTGTGAAGTGAAGCAGATTAAATGAGCAGTATTTAATCCTATTTGTATGCTGACAATGATTGTAGAAGTGAAGCAGATTAAATGAGCA